TTAAATAAAATAAAAAATAAATTTATTAATAAAATATATTTTAAGTTATAAAATTTATATTCAGTTTATTTAAATAAATGCAATAAATTTGGCATTTTTTCGAAAAATCTAATAAATCGTATAATTATTGCGTTTAAATATATTTCCTATTATTCGTATTTTTATTTAATTTATTTCGAAAGTTTTCGAAATTCCCTGATTTAGATCGATTATTATTTGTAAATTTGAAATAGTGCTATTTTTTTTATAAATATTTTGCCTTTTTGATTCATTTATATCTATTTCGATTTGTTTCGAATTATTTCAAAATATTTCGCAATATATAGCATATTTTTACACTATAATTTCGTAATATTGCGTAATATATTTCATAATATTATGTTATATATTGTGCAATATTGCACAATATTATGTCCAGACTGTAATTATTGCGCAATATTTTGGGGTGTAATAACTTGCATAAGTTTACGTTAGTATATTTCGCTGATGTCCTAACTCGGGACTTCCCAAACAGGCTTCGATCTCCGGTCCTGTGACCTGTGCCAAGCAAAGCCCACAGATTACAGCCTTCCGGAATTACCTCAACAGTGCCACCAAACACAGTCTCGACAGATCCTCCATGGGCCAACTTTAGTGAAGATCGTCGCAGACTTTTTCCCATATCACAAAAGCGTCGTCCCTGAGATTTGAACATGGGATCTAGCCATTACGTTTGGAGAGGGTGACAACATGCATTTTTTATTTTAAAGCCGGCATTCATATATATAGTATATAAAATTTGGTTATTTTTACCAATAAGATTACTAAAATCTGAATTTTTTAACTTCTACTGTGCCATAGATCTCTGGTCTTATACAACCTCTTATTCCTGCCATTGCAATGATTATAATAGTGGGTGTAATTAAAATAAGCTATTTTTATATTTATATTTAATTAGTCTGTAAGTATAGTCTAAATATGTCAAAAAAATTTTGCCGCTTAAGTTATTTTACCTTTGTAAGATTATTCATTCCTTACACAGGTCAAAAAATAAAAAATCAGGCACAAATCAGGTACCCGATTTTAAACTAATTACTACCTGATTACCACCTGATTTATGCATATTTTTGTACCAAATTTTTGGTACAAAAATATGCATAAATCAGGTGGTAATCAGGTAGTAATCAGTTTAAAATCAGGTATCTGATTTGTACCTGATTTTTTATCTTTCGACCTGTGTTACTAAGTTAACCGGTAAGTATACAATCAAAGAACTTTTATACTTCTGCTATAGGGTAAGTTAAAATTAATTACATATTCACTTTATTAATATATACATTTATATTTATATTTATAAGTTTAAAGATCTCACGCAATCAGAAAGTAACACCCTTAAAGTATATGGATTAACTCAGGAAAGCACAACAAATAGGCATATATTTATTCATAATTTTAAAAGAGATAATGCAAATTGCAACTGATATAACACATCAAAAGCTTGGAGTCAAACATGTGATCCTCAGAAAACTGCACAAGAACAGACAAGTAGAAATAAAGATATCGATAATTGCATTAAAGCATTACAACTTAAAGCACAGAATATGAAGATGTGATTGAGTGGATTCCTTTTAATAGATTAGGTAATATTCAAAATTTTCATTTAATAAAATCCAGTTGCTATCTTCCAAGGAATCTTTGGCCCCATAATTTTTTAATTTTTCAATATATGCACTTCTTATTAGTTTTATTAGTTTATTGCTTGTGCTATCTATTGCTATACAAGCTTATATAATTAATTATTTTTTTTTGTCAAAGAAATAGCTTGTATGATGCGTACATTACTGATCTTGGTTTTTCAAAAAAGGTAAAAGATGGAAAATTTGCAGAATTCTACCATATATAGTGCCTAAAGTTTTAATAGGTCAGCTGTATACTCTAGCATCAGATATTTATAGCCTTGGAATTATCACAACAGAGATTTCAACCGGACAAAGAGCATTTGATGGAATTCCATTTAATGATGATCTTGCTTTAAGAATATTCGGTAGATTTAGACCTAAATGTTTAGGACCAGATTGTTATATTAAATTAGCTATGAAATATATGAATAAAGATTTTGTTAAGTGACCTACTGTGTTAGAAATTATTGAAATAATTACAAGTTGGTTAAATGAAATGGATCAGGAAGATGTTAATGAAATCAAAAATCAATTTTTGGAAGCCAGTAAGAATAAACCAGAGTCAGTTAAACAAATACATTTTCAAAAGGTTTATACATGATATACAAAAAATTTCTGAATATATTAGTAAACCGATTAGTACAATCGAAATTTCAATTATGTAACTTGACAAAGCAACATCGCTTTGTAGCATGTAACTTTGATCATAGTTTTTATAAACATACTTTAATAAATATGCGTTCTATATAAAGACAATATTATTTATTTATTAATTGAATTGAAATAGTCTATGTATCTATTACTAATTTATTAATTACCATTCTGGTGAACATATGCGATTAAGTTAGTTGCAAATAGTTGCAACCAGTTAGTTGACAACTAGTTGACAACTAATAGTTAACTGTAGTTGTACTAGTTGATTATAAACCGGTTAGTTAATTAAAAAATTTTCTAACCGGTTAGTTGGAAAGTTATCAACTATTTGGTTTTTCAACTAACGATTTGGAACACTATCTTGCATTAATCTTGAAATTTCTGCTTGAGATCCATTTTTTAATAGAGCTTGAGTAATTCGGTAAATTCTGCTTTGGTTCAGGTTATATTGGTGTCCAGCATTACGAATAGATTCTGTATAGTGTCTAATTCTTGTTCAAATTTCATAATTCAGATTATATTGTAAATCTTGACATATCTTGTAGGCATATATATGTTTCAATTTATAGAACCACAGTTCTTCTCTAATACTTTCTAACTGATGCATTTTGGATCTGGGTCATTGGCAATTGCAAATTTTACAATTGGTAAGTGTTCCTCTTCCTAGTTCAGTTCGATAATATTCTTGGCTTCGGGAGTCATCAAATTCCAAGCTTTGGTAGAAAGCTTTGTAGCAGCCAGTACATATAAGTTGGTTATCATGAAGATGCAATTCATCTGATTGTTGTGGGGTATAGCATTTACAACAATGGTGGGTCCTTCTTTTACTGAAATGGACGAGTCTTCTAACTTCTACCTGGGTTCGATCACATCCACAATGGTAGGGTAGGTTGTCCAATTTGTATTGAGCTAATGGGCAATTAATTTCTATATATCCAATTTGTCTGCATTCAAAACATAGATTTTGAGGACAGTCTTTAAACAAATGATTAGTTTGTCTACAATTTTTACAATTAGCTCTTTTGTTTTGCTTATTACGGCAATTTCTAGCAATATGTCCTTTCTTATAACAATAGTAACATTCATTTTAAGAACAATTTTTATACTTATGTGTTTTTAAACCGCAAGTTCTACAAGGATATGAAGTCCTAGAGCGAGATTGACTTCTATGACGAGGTTGGTAAGTAGTCCATCCTTCTTCCTCCTCTTCAAGAAGAGAAGATGCATAGACCTCATGTGGTGTCAAATATTCTTCCTTATATAATTCATAATCCTCAGGAGTAATACATATAGGCTGTTTCTTTTTCAGTTGGTCTTGTTTGTAAAAAGTATCCAGAACAATTTTCTTTTCTTTCCAATATATTGTATATTGGCATGTTTTCCAACTATAACTTGTTTCAACTTTCCTAGACCAGTCATTTCCTAACAGTAGAGAGTAAGAAGTAGCAGGTACTACTTCTACATTGATTGGGATGGCTCTTTCTTAGATTTTTATAGGTAAATTACAGATAATTCCCAAGGGTCTTGATGTAGTTCAAGTGGCAGCAACAATTAAACTTTGTAATAGTTTATTGATTTTAAAACCTAATTCCTTTATAGTTTTGTGGGCAATCATACTCACAAATGCACCACTATCGATGATAGCTGGATAAGTTTGATCCTTAATATCCACACGATATTTGACAGGAGTAATATTATTGGTAGGTTCTGGTTTAGTAATCTCATGGTTTGTTTCAGTAATATAGGCAGTGAGTGCAGTTCGAATAGAGTAGTTATCCAAAAGTCTTTTCCAGTTTTTAGATGAAGTAGAGGTTGAGTTAGATTTTTCAGCCATATTCATATTTTGGTAGTAGGGTGAGGGTAAGCGAGTAGATCTAGGTCCCCATCTTTCTTGACTTCAGTCTCTAGACCTACTTTTATTTTGAAAGTAGTTTTGAGAATAGTTTTTTTCTCTACTTTTACTTCTATTGTGAGATCTACTTCTATCTTGTTGATAATTATTAGATCAATTATTGTTGTAGTTATTATTGTTGTTGTAACAGTTGTTGTAGTTATTATTGTTCTAGCAATAGTTGTTGTTCCTGTTGTTGTTTCTGTTGTTGTTACTTCTAAAATTGTTATTTTGCCTAACTTCTGCTTTTCTGGCATGGCAGTCCTTTTGATAATGACCATATTTTTCACAATAATAACAAACATCTTTTTCTTTTTGGTGGTTTGTTGTTTCAACAGTATAGGCAGTTTGTTGTTGTTGTTGTTGGGCAAGGTTGATACTAAGTTTAGCAATTTGGTCAGTAAGTTGAGTAATAGCCTTGGTAGTGTCGGTATCAGTAGATACCACCAATCTTCCTGCTTCTCATTGTTTAGCAGTTTTAATGACTTCATCTAGAGTATTTCTGTTAGCAGGCATAGCAAGTTTAAGACGCAATCCTTTAATAAAGTGTTGGATAAGAAAAGCTTCTGGTAGTGTAATAATTTTATCTTTTAAATTTTTAAATTTTGCAATATAGACATCTATGGTATCAGTTCCTTGTTTTAACTCAAAGAAACTTTGTTGCCAAAGAGCCTTTTGTTTATTATCACTAAACCTGGTTTTGAAGAGAGGTTTGAAACTAGTATTTGGAGGACCATCATAGGCTGTTAATATTGCATCAGTAAATCCTTTAACCCATTCTTCGGCAATCCCTTTTATATATGCTTTAGCCAAAGCAAGTCGTCGAGTTTCATTCCAATTATTAGCTTTAATAGCACGTTCAAATTCATCAAGCCAGTCAATAGAATTTTGAGTTCTATCGGCTTTAAAAGATTCGATTTTAATAAGATTCTTTTCACCATTTTCTCCTAGTTCAAGTGCTTGAGCAAGCCGAGCCAAAGCTTGTATAGCAGTATTTAGATTTGCAGCCATATCTTCTTCTTTACTACTTGATTCTGATTCAGATGATTCTTCTTCAGATGATTCTACTTCAGATAATTCCTCTTCAGATGACTCTACTATAAATAATTCCTCTTCAGATGATTTGGTTGTTTCCAATTCGCTATCACCTGCAAACTCATTATTAGCAAATAAAGTTGTATAATCAATAGTATGAACTTGTATATAGTCTGAGCCTGTAGGTGAAATAGATTGACTTTGATTGTGATCCCAAGGTTGTTGGTTAGAAAAACCTCCAGGAAGTTGTAATACAGTATCTTCAAAAAGTGGAACTTGTCGAAATTGTGGGTCTGTTGTGGGGTTCCAAGGGTCAATCTTAGTATTATCTTGGGGTTGGTCTGCTTCCCAATAATTAACAATAGGAGTATTGTCTATAGTCGGGTATATAGAAATATATTCAACTTGGTTGTTATTATTATCGAATAAATTTCCTTGCTCCACATTGATAATAGTTTTTGGGGTAGAAGGGCGAATTTGTTCTTGTTTCTCAGTTAAATAAGAAGGAGGAGCTCCATATAGCACTAATTCATCAATACTATCAGTATCCATCTCTTGGTTAATTAAATCAGTAGGAGGAATTATAGAACTAGGGGTAGGAGTATAAAAATCAGCCTCTAAAAGATCAGTACTGTTTGAAGAAAAAGAGAACTTAGTAGTTAGTGTAGGAAATTGAATGTTAGTTATATCTTCAGGAATTTCAGCAGATTGATAAAATTGTTGTTCAGTATTAGATTCAAAGATTGTAGTAGTATCAGATGAGAATGTAGTAGCGTGGATAGAGCGGTCACTATGTTGTAAGTGTTGAGAGATTGATCCTAATTCCTCGGAATATTGAATATATTGAATAGGTAAAGAAGAATTATTAAGGTGATCAATATATATATCATAGTGATTTTGATCCACTTCTTCAATCTGTGGGATGTTAGTATACGAAGTAAAATGATAAAATAAAATAGAAATTACAGGACAAGAAGCTGGTATATTATTGTTATATCTGCAACTAAAAATAATATCACGTGCAGCAGAGCGAGCAAGTTTTCAGTTAACAGTACGCAAATTTTTAAAACTTTGCTCAGTAACTGAACTATAAGATATAGCGTTATCCCTTAAATTGTAACACAGGCAAATTTGCCTGTGTTTTTATTAAAAAGTTTAATTTTTTTAATAAAAACTTA